ATCTGATGGCCACAAACCAAATCGGCATTCGTCTGTTAGGAGAACAGCCCCTCGTTGTTCAAGCGAATAGAGTCGCCTTTCTACTCGACGCCTCTCCAGCAGGAAAGAATCTGTGGGAAGTCAAGAGACTAGACTGTACTCACGAAGCCTTCTGATGAAAGTTCTAGAGCTCACTCTTATGTTACGGACCGTTTGGGGTTGACTACCTACCAAGGAAGCAATTAAATGAAGCTGGCTCGAGCAGAGTTACGATGGATGATTAGTGTGAAACTTTTGATATCGGGAACGGATCAGTTCGTTGACAAAAAGAACGTTCACATCGTTGTGGATAGTGAGACTAGTGACGAAGTATGGAGCTTTGACGATTTATCTGAGGTCTTTTGATTGGAAGGATTGTATGCGCTGGATGTTGGATGGCTTGGCAGAACCCCACAGTTCCACTCCGTCCAAAGTGGCGCAGTAAAGTCTTCCATATGGTTAGTTGTAGTACTGACGGTCAAGACGGATTTCGGTCCTAGAGGTCTTCGTAGTTTTCCGATCTTCTATTAACTTTTTAGCAGGGAATATAACTCAACGCCACCCGACGTCGTATGGCATGTTAGTGGGGTTGCACATCTGTTCGACGCAAGCACACGCCACGTGACAGTCACACAGTTATATCACTGTAGTTTAATCAAGTGCTTTCGCGAAATGGATAGCTGTGAGGAAGACATAAATGGCAGCAGCAGCGATCTGCTTGCTTTCAACGGCGAACAGAAAAACTTGGCTTCATGAAGTAAACTTCTCTAGTGATGTATCTGGTGAATATCATACGTTGATTTCTATACTATAAAAGGAAGAAAAGTTGATCGATTCCACCTGTATTTTCGGAAGACGAAACAAGAAGCAATAAAGGAACGGATCAGGAAAACTAATATAAATTTCCGCACATATACCTGACGTGATCCTCCCCAATCTGTTATTGTGATTATTTTTTCAATATGAACACTTGAGTACATTTTTTAAATTCAGACTTGTCTTCCATTTTTTGCACCAATCTTCGATAAGCTCAAGGTGTACATGGGTGCTGGAAGTTGCTTGATTTTGGATAGAATCCGAGGGGAGGACGAAATTGCGGTATAGTCTGATGGTGAACTCGCATTTGGAGTGTGTAGGTAGGTCAGCAATCTAAGTGGGAATGGAAATTAAAAAGTAAACCATAAAAGCAATAAGAAAAACGTAATTTTCAGCTAAACATTTAAACTAAACGTCGCATTTAAGGATTTCCATAGGATTAAATAGTTGGTATATAAAGAAGTGAGAAGCTTAAATGGTATAAAGGGTGGGATAAGAAGTTTATATCAGTTTAATGTTGGCATTCCTTGATTGCAAGAATTCTATTTCTTTTTCTTCCTGTTTTTATATGACATATAAAAGATAACCCACTATAAAAAGTACGCTTTTTATATTTGCTCTCGATTTACTTTGTAGTTATTATTTATTTGTTTGTTGTTTTGAAACCAATTAATTAACAGGGAGTTTCTCATCTGTATTGATCCTTATTTGTACATGTGCGGATAAATTTTTGTCATTTATTTCTTTTGGGGAAAAACAAAAGCGCAACTTACCAGAATAATTAATCCATCTTTTAATTTTTTTAAAATTTAACATTTTTTTAAAAAGAAATTCGACCTAAACAATAACATTTTATATATATTTTTAGAAACGTGCTTGTTGAAATGGGCGTTTAAGAAAGATATCATATACAAAAAAAATGGTCATAAGTCGTAAAACGATTTCTACGGATAAATTAAAAAGAAGAAAAAGATCCTTTGAGATGAGATGAGCCGTTTGGTGTTGTTAGTTGTCCGGTTCCTCGTTAGATCGCGGTTCCACTTCCTTAGGGGCACCCACTACACATAAAATTCGAACATGATGAAGAGTTCATGGATAATTTTGGTTCGGCCAATTTTCACCAGTTAATTTTCCCATGCCTGCTTTAATAAGTGGCAGCTTTCTTTATGCGTATAGTTTAAAAAAAGTCTGATATCAAGTGTGCCAATTAGCCGTTTTATGGCATATTCTCGCTTTCTCATTATTTCGCTTTCCCTCTCACTCATTCACTCACTCACTCACTCACACACACCCACTCTCTCTCTCTCTCTTTCTCTCTCACTCTCTCTCTCTTTCTTTCTTTCTTTCTCTCTCTTTCTCTTTCTCTTTCTTTCTTTCTCTCATTCCCTCACTGTAGTAATCCCTAACTATTTCTTGAATGAAGTTTGGAAATCTACAATAAATAATATAAAGCAAACTTTACCATTCACACTCTCATTCACTCTCTCTCTCACTCACTCACTCAGTCACTCATCCACTCACTCACTCTCTCACTCACTCACACTCTCTTCCCTCTCTCTCTTTCTCTCACTCGCTCTCTCTCTCTCTTTCTTTTATTTACTCACTTACTGAAGTAATCCCTAACCATCCCCACCAATTTTTTGGATGAATTTTAGAAATGTACAATAATTAATATAAAACGAACTTAATCAATTTGAAGATCGAATTGTACATTATCACATTTTACTTTTAAGAACTATGTTAAAACTTTTTTGCCTTGAAAGAATACTGAAAGTTTTTCTCAACTCCTGAAATTTCTTGGCTGAATTTCAGTCTTTTAACCTAGGTGAATAATGCCAAAGGAAAAGTTACCCTAAAATTGTACAAAAAGTATGATACAAGCCAAATTTTACAACGGTGCAATTGGATGAATTTTGCAATTGTTACTTGTTTACCCGGGGAAAATATTTTGCCATTGATTTCAAAATGAAGGTCTGAGGTTAAAGAAAGTTTTTTTTATTGGGAACGGATTGTCTCGAATGATCCCATCATATCCGATAGGTATTAATTCACCATTGTCAATAAACAATGCAAATCTTGCATTGTATAGTCGTGTAAAACTTGTCAACAGTTTAATTATTCCTGATCAGGGTCCGTTTATTCTCGCTGTTGTCCTTGGTCAGACGCGTTTAGGTTTTGTCCTTTTGAACGAGGAGACAACGGGAAAATGTGAATGCCACCGATCAGCTTCACCCGTAAATTTTGGTACGACAGTACTTTTAGAAATAAATAACAACCATTATGAACATTGCCTCCTACAAAATTTGCGTAGGGCTGAGGAAAATTAGAAAGAAAACGATGCTCCCTTCGGGCTCTCGGCTCTCTTAACAAACAGTCAAATCCCTGTCGAAAATATCAAAAATTCATAGGTATATATTTATTCAGAAGAGAATTCTCGCATGTTTATCGTATTGTAATGCGACATCCTCGAAAGGACAATAAACACTTTTACTATTGGGAATGATTTTGTGCTTAAAGGACTCGTATCTTTAATTAGTTCTCTTTGGAATTTATTAGCCGTCACTAGTTGTCTTCTCATTCTAATAATAATTTTTCAAAGCTCAAGCTCTGCAAAAGTTAAGTCTCCGACGTTTGACTTGTACCGCTGACTGAGCTTTTTGAGAAAAACTGAATTTTACCTACTTTTTGATAAACTTTTTTCTTCAAAATATGGAGTAAAAGGCTATTTTCAATCTTCTGACAAATTCATTTGGTTATCACAAAGTATGTAATGTTTCATAAATTATTATTGGAGTACAATACCTTAACTGTTCATAATAGTTATTCGAATAGGAAACTAAATAAATCTCGTTGAATTGGAGTATATTTTCCTTTAATAAAGTGAATAAATATTATGCAGGAGACTGCGGTGGTTGAGTGGTTAGGGCGTCCAACTCGTATTTGCCACGCTAGTGGTTCTGAGTTCGAATCCCGATACAGCCCATGTCTTTTTAATTGAGAATAGTATGAAAAACGTATTCTAAAGTGATTTGACTCTAAGATCACGACACCCAATGGGTAGTTGAATGTAACGTACCGTTGATCCGCTTGGGATGAAAATCATAGGGGACCATCTAGAAACCAACCCGCACAATCTCTGAAAATTTCCTAAAAATTGGTCTCATGGGTTAGAAGTTTTGCCGGTTACAAGGAATTGACCTTGTTGACGGACTGGCAGATACGGAAACAAAAGGTCTGGAACACAAAATGCGATTGGAAATTTTGATTTTGGAGGACACAATTTTTTTCGACTTTCCGCATGAATAAAAACAAGGCTTCCCTACCTTCGGTTCGTAAGCAAAACGTATAACACGGCAGGGAATGCCGGCGTCTCACTCTACCAGGAAGTAAACAAGTGTTCAGATGTTCAAGGAGCAACCCGGAAAAGCAAATCCTTATGATCCTAATAACGATCATAATTAGGTAAACATGTTCCGGGCCCATGCTGAATCATGTTACTACCTCGGATTCTGGGTTTGAGTCACTTTTCACGTCCAGCGACATATTCTATGGATTTTCTGTTGACGGTATTAGGATTGTATGGTGGTCGAAATAGAGAAAATAAGTTAGTGGATGTCTCTGAGTCAGACAATTCTTCTACTTCCCTTTAGGCCCAGCGCCATTACAATCAGTTGATAAACATGTTATAGTTTGGTCGTCAGGCTTGTTTGGCGGTAGAAACGAACGACAAGCGGTGGATGACCATTGTTAATCAATGACCTTTCGGTCCGTCAATTCTCGCTCTGTCCCTTTTTATGTCCTATGTCCCAACGCCATTTTCTCTATGAGTATTACATGGGACGACCTATGCTAAATTAGTATACATTTGTTGGATCCGCCAATTTTCGCTCTGCCCCTTTTTAAGCTCGTCACGATATTCTGTGAATTAATTTGAGTCAGTTGGTTTTAAACTTATAGGGCGGTCTAGAACTCGAGCCAGAAAAACTAAGCAAGTAGATGACCTGTACTGTTTCGCTCTGTCCAGTTTTTAGGCTCAGCGTCCTCCAGATTGTTGTTATTTTTTCTGTCAAAAATCAAAAAGTACGAGCAAATTATTTGTGTTGCCGGTTCGATTTGGTTTCTCGTTTAAATATTACGTGTAATATGAATTTAATTTTTTGTTTCAGGTTCCATGGATAAGTGGAGGATGAAGACCAAACACTTCATCATATCTGGTACTTATTGTAAGTCCTCACGACATATGTTATTGTGAATAATGTTAAATGTTGATTTTTTAAAACTAACTGTGTGCTAAAAAAGAGATAAGCATGCATTTGTTTCGTTTTGTTCGCTCGCAATGGTTTTCCTTGGTTTTTTCTATTGTGGCAAATCTGTCGGAACAGTTGGATTATTTTATTATCGATTAGCGATTTTTAGTAATATGTAATAATAGTCAGTTGACCATCGATGTCGAGCTCGCCATATTTGCCGCAATGACTTCCTTTGTTGTTCTCATTAAATAACATATTCACAAGTCCGTTTTACCTTTTCAGATCATCAAATCATGTTTCACTATTAACCAAACGAATCACCTATCATAAATATAACAAGAAGAGGTTTATTGCGCTGCAAGATGCATGCTCCCCACATTCCCGGCTAACTGTCATTGTATGTGTTCGTTGGAAAAACAAAAATAAATAAATATGTACATTTATTATATCTACATTTTAGCCTGGCGGCTTTTATTATTTGTTCTCCTTTCCTTCTTGTATTTTCCGACTGTGGAAATTTCTTGATTTTGACTACAGTTAATCTTTGTCGGCTGTGTTTTGTCCCGAGAAAAAAAAGCGTTGAAACATGATTATATGAGCGTTTCAACAAAATTACTTCTTCGGCAGATCCATTCTAGACAAATTCAACAATGTAAATCATAAGAGAAAAGAGGTAAAATTATATTACAAATACAAAAAAAAAAAATAAATAAATAAATTAAAAAAAATAATTGAAATTGCATTGTTGTTTTTGTCGTGAACGATGATCATTCAATAAAGAAGAAAGAATCTGTTCAAAATATGTTGTTGGTCAATGAAACTTATTTGTACAATTGTAAACCTGTTTGTTAACCAAAAATAAGTCAATAAATCAATCAATCTTAATATTTATCCTTTTTAATATATTATCAGATTAAGTTTTCAAAAAATTGAATATGTTTTTTCTTTATCCAACCTTTCTCATTTGCTTTGTCTTTGGGTAAGTGGAAATTTGCACTGTCTTTGTTTTTGTAACATTAACAATCTAATGCTTTTCTTGTTATACCCTTTGAAACACAAAATAAACCAAATGACATGAAAATCTATTAACACACGATCATGGTATGAATGGACATAACAGTTCGTTTTTGTTGTTAGATTCTTGGTCTATTAACCTTCAACTAACAATAAAAAATAACTCATCCATTTAAACAAAAATAAACAAATAAATAAAAATAGATGTGTATTTCCGCTTGTTCTGGTCGAGAGGCGTTGCCGATGTGTCATTCCTGACATAATATAACAAGATGAGGATATTCGGACTGCATTGTGATAAATCAAGTGTGTACTCTCGTCACGTCACATTCGACTGTCTGTAGTTTTTCCCCCTGAAAGTTACGAGGTACTGCGGTTTTCAGTTACCTGTCATTGTTTATTTACATATAGGCCAAATTGATGCAACGAGGACATGTCCGAGAGGGATCGAACCAACCACCACCTGTGCCATTAGTAACGATGAGGGGTGGGCCGAGGTTATTTTCGACCCGAGCTTAAGTTAGCAATAAAAAAATAAATCAATAAAAAAATATAAAAAAACATAAACAATTCTACAACAGTTATGCCGTGATGAAGTAAATTATTAAAAAACGATGACATCTAATATCGACTGTTTACAAATACTATTAGGTATTTTAATCCATTCAATTCCATCGAACTTGTGTCCGTCCATTGAAGATATTATTTTAGACTGCTTCGTAAAAATAAAATAGACTGAAGGGGGTCAGAGGTGTAGTAATGCAGAAGCTAAATATATCTGTTCGTAGGAAGAAAGGTACTTTTTGACCCAAGGTCATTGGACGTGCGCATTAGAAGCTTATGACTCCTGTACGAACTTACTGATCGAATTCTTTTTCTTTCCTTTGCAAAGTGAACCGACAATTGATTGTTGGAAAGAAAATGTCAGCGGGCAATAATCGATATACTTCAAGCTAAACATGTTCCACTCACCGTATCTTAAATGACATGTACGGTTGAAAGGATGAAAGCAAAAAGGGAGGCAGATATTGTACATGTTCCATTACACTTGTGTGGTACGTTGATCGACTGATGATTGTCAATGAAGGCAATAATACAAGTAGAAGTCGATTTGGCCATTTCGTCTATATTAGGTCTCATCAGGTTTCTTCCTCTTTATTTATAAAAACTTATTTGATTTTTGATAATTAAAGTTTGATCGTTATGTGAAGTATTTAAATACATATGTATGTGTCGTATATGTAGACAGTTGAAGGTCTTATTGTAGTTTATCATCTTCAGATCCAAACGGTAGGGTTATTATATACTTGCATTCATTATAATTTTTATTTTTTGTTGTTTAACGGAAAATTTTAAAGAAAAATATAAGCTATAGCTAAATAAAAAATTAAACTTAGTAGAACAATTTCACCAAAAATGTTGCTATGGAAACAATGAAGAAAATATTTAATTCAGCACGGAGTATTTCCTTCTCTTGTGTGATCACCGCTTGCATTCGATGTAGCATCGATTTTAAGAGGTTTTGAATGTAGTCCTATGGAATTGTTTCATATTTCTCCAACATCGTCATTCTTAATTCATGCAAATTCTCTGGCATGACTGGCGACTTTTTACCCTCTTTGACAAGGGCCAAAGGATAGGTCTTAAGTCGGGACTACATGTTGGCCACTCCAAACGTTGAAATGAAGCCCGTTCCAAGTCAATAATCGATCGTAGCTAGATATCATAGATATTTGTCAAGCATCAAAATACCGTCGCCAATTAGTGGCATATAAGGAACAACTTCTGATGACACATCTTCAATTTATGGCGCAGCTGTTACAGGGAACTCGATGAAGATAGTTTTAATGCGACCTTCCTAGAAATGTCTGCTCAAAACATAACACCACCACAACCACAGCTTCTTCTACGGAATGAAAACGTCGCTGGATATATCACTCTACTGTTCTTCTCCAAACCTTCTCTCGGCCGTCAGAAGATCTCAAATAAAACCTTGACTCGTCGGAAAAAAAAGATTTTAGTCCAATCTTACTCAGGCCAGTGGATATGATTCCTAGCAAAACCAGTGGCACGCCTTGTCGCACGTAATCCAGCTTCTGGAAGTCTTTGCCTTACTCCCTCTTACTTTTCTTTTTTTCTCTCTCCCCCTCATTTTCTCTCAGATACTCACATTCTCTCTATCTTCTCTCTCTATCTCTCTCACTCAATCTGAGAGAAATTGACAGCATTTCTAACTTGTTGAATTCGTTGCAGGAGGGAGGCATAGGAGTATGTGAGTGAGTGATTGAGTAAAGGAGAAAAAAACGATCGAGAGAAGGTGAGTGAATGAAAAAGTGAGTGAAAGAGAGAAATTGATTGAGAAAGTGAGAGATTGAGAGTATGTGACTGAGTGATAGAGAGAATGTAAGTCAGGGAAAGTGAATGAGAAAGAAAAATATAAATGTAATAGAGAGTATGTGGGTGAGTGATTGAGTGAGAGGGAAAAAAGATTGTCAGATAGTTGTTGATAAATAAATACAAAAAAATTCGCGTCATGTTGTTTTCCGTGTACGTTTTCAAATTCCATCCTGACCTACGGTTTTCCTGAGGTTTGATGTAGGAAAAAAAGGGCAGAAAAACGGTCTAAACGAAGATCAACCACCCATTATAAAAAGGGATCCCTCATAATCTTTTCTCTGTAATTTAACGTGACAATTAGACCATTTAGTTGACTACAACTTGACGTCACTTCTTGTTACCATGGGGACCTCCCATTGATCCCAACTATCAATGAAACCAGCTGAGCCACAAAATGTCCACCGCTTTGGTCAATATTTAACCGTGGTGGGCAAAGGTCAATAAAGTACATCGAAGGGGGTACCCGCGGAACGCGTCACGTACTGAGAAAGTGGTGCGTTTAATCAGTCTATTAGCTCAACTCAGCGATAAAAAATCTTAAAAATTTACTGTTGGACATTTTAACTGTATCGCTATTTAAATTTAAACGTTTTGTATACAGGGTTTCTCTTGAACCAATGACAGTATGAAAAAAAAACACGTGTTTTAATATTTTTAGTCTAGTTTCAAATGTTTACCTTTTTTGGAAACAATACACAGGGTACCTCGGACCCAATTCAGGGTCAAAGTTTCAAATACGACCCTATACATCCTGACACATCATTTTAAAGGATTTTGTACTCTGAGCACAATGGTACAATCGGATTTCAATTTGGTCAAATAAAGACAAAGTTATGGCAAACAGTTTAAAAAACGTATTTCATTTGTTTTGTTGTTTATTCCAATAATTTGCTTCTTCACTAAAGTAAACATTAATTGCCTTGATTGTTTAAATTTTATCATTGTTTGTCAAATTCAAATTGGCGTAGACACTGTTTGTTAAATGGCCCCACAGAAAAATAATCAAGTGGAGTTAAATCGGGTGACCGAGAAGGCCAATGAGGTCCTATACACCTATCCCGGAAGTGACGATTCAAATAACGTCTCACCTGCAAATAATTGTGTGCGGGCATCCATCAAGCTGGAGAATCATTCTTTGTCGTTGTTGCACAGGAACATCATCTAATACTGTTGGTAAAACCTCCCTCAAAAAATTGAGGAACTGAGCACCTTTTAAATTATGTATTTTCGTAGAAATAAGCCCAATTCATTTATTTCAGAGAAGTCCACACCAAACGTTGATACTGTGAACCACCTGATGATGACAAGAGTACGAAATTCTCGGATTTTCCTCTGTCCACGTTTGAAAATTCCAACGGTTTAGTATGCCATTGGAAGTGAACTTGGATTCAACAGTGCATAGGATGTAAGGAAGAACGTTTTCTTCAGCCTCCCAAATCGACATGTGTGCAAGGAATGCCTGTCATAATCAGAGTCCCGAAGTACCCGGACAAGATTAGAGCGATACAGCTTAAATCAAAAAGTCGGGAGTACATACCAAATTTTATTTTTTG